GAGGCCCAGGGCTCACAGCAAGGACCCTGGGCTAGCGGCAGCAAAGCACCCAAGATAAACAGCGCAGTCCGCCCTCCTCGCCACGTGCTAAGCCCAAGTCTGCTTTCTCTTCGCTCTGTGAGTGGGGACCAAGAGAGGTGATGCTAATAGTAAGAGTGAAACATGCAGGGGCTTCAAAAAGTTCACAAAAAATACATATTAAGAAAAAACTAGGCATTGTTTTAAAAAATGTCTTGCACCAGAATAAACCCATACTTTATCTTTCCACAAACTTTTTTTTTTTTAAAAGAAGCATTTATTTATTTAATTCCATTTGTATTATTATTATTTCATTTGACCAGAGACAGAGAGAAAAGGAAAGTGAGAAAGTAACCCATCAGGTCTAGAACTTGAACCAGGGTCAGTCATGTGGGAGTCTAGCGCCTCAATCACTATGCCACCATGAACTTCTTAAAGTCCCTAGTATACATGCCCACCCCTGCCAAAACACAGTGGGAGCTCCAGGGGTGCTCACGCTTGGACCTACAGCAGCTTGGGCTTGTGTCCCTTTTCTCAGGCGTGGGTCTGGCCCTGAGACCATAGTCACAGCACGTCTGACTGCTCATAGGCCTGTGACACCGTCCTCCCAGGCTGCCCTTCCTGGCCTTGGCATCTCTCCCTGGGATATGCCAATGCCTTCTGGGACAGCTCCTGACTCTCATCCTGCCAAGGGCTGCTCCCTGCTTCCCAGGACTGGTTTTCTGAGATGGGACACACATTTCATGTAGAGTGGCTTCAAAGCAGGGCTCTGGGGCCCAACATGGTCTTTTGGGGAGACACATCAAACCTGTTAGCCCATATACCGCCTACATTCACTCTGCTATGCTAATTCTGTCAACCATCTTCAACATAACTAACTGTACTGCTCCAGGAAAAGCTTGCCCCAAAGTGGAAGGGGAAAGGAACTTTATAGTTCTTTCCAGAAGCTTTCAGAAAGAATCACTTGGGGCCAGCAGGTGGCATGGTGGTTAAGGGCGCTGGACTCCCACATGGCCGACCATGGTTCAAGTCTCGGATCTGGTGGCTTGCTTTCTCACTTCTTCTCTGTCTGTCTCTCTCTGATCAAACTGGAAAATAATAATGATAATAATAATAAAGTTAAAAAAGAATCACTTAAAGGAACATCAAACTGCTCAACACTTCACAGCATCATAATAGAGTTCATACTGCGAGACTCTGAATCCTTTGCCCTCACATCTCCCCTGAGAACAGGGTGACACGTAAGGGACAGTGAGAAGCAGGGACCACCTGAGTTCCGGAAAGGTCCTTGAGGACCTCTTGGTGCAGTCCATTCAGTTTACAGACCTGTAACAGAGCCCAGACAGGGAAAAGGATTTGTCTAAATCACCAGGCTAGCTAGGACTGTGACGGGGATTACATGAGTTAATATCCATAATGAGCTTACACACAGCCTGGAATCCACCGAGCTCTACATAAGTCTGTCAAATGAAAAATAATGGAGGCTCCAGCCCAAAATTAAAGATGAACTCCTTACTCTCTCACTTCCTTGGGAGAGAGAGAGAAAGGGAGACCCCTGACACTGTCTTGCCACACGACCTCCCCCCCCACCCGGGTTTTCCAGCCAGTCAGGATCACTGGCCCACTTGCCATGTTCAGGTTGACTCGGGATCTGAACCCTCAGCTTTCCCATGTGGCTCCAGTACCACAGTGCCTCTCTCCTGTGCCATCTCGGCCAGATCTGCCCTCTCACTTGCTTACACACACACACACACACACACACACACACACACAACTTTGACCTTAAACCCCAACAAACATTCTTGACTTTTTTGTTGTTGTTGTTCTGAGAGTTTTGCTGTAGGGAACGCGCGCTCACCAGCGAGACAGAGAGAATAATGTGAGAAATAATCCCCCAGGCGGGTGGTCACATCACAGTCTCTTGTCCTCCAGTTACCTCAGGATTTGGGGCATACACGCACATGCGCCTGGCATGAGTTTTAAGCCATCAGGTCCAGGACCCGAATCATAGTCAACTACATGCAAGTCCAGCGACGTAACCATTACGCCATCTGCTGAAGACAGACACACACACACACACACACACACACACATAACCACACTCACCCACCCATTCACACCTGACTTTGACCTTAAACCCCAGTAATTCTCTGAGCATGTATTGAAACCAGCTGGAGGGCTTGTTAAGAGTCCTGGGCCCCACCTTACAGGTCTTATTCTGTAGATCTGGGGTGGGGTGGGAGTTCAAACTTCTTTTTTTTTTTGGAGAGGTTTTTGCTATAGGGCACATGAGCTCACCAGAAAGACAGAGAGAGACAAAGACAGAAAGTGAGAAATCACACCCCAGGGAGGATGGCTCAGCCACAATCCCTTCTCCTCCATTCTCCTCTTGGGATATTAGGCACACACGCACACACGCCCAGTGTGAGTTTAAGCCACCGGGTCCAGGACTGGAACCGTGGTTAACTGCATGGGAGTCCAAAGACATAACCATTACACCAACTGCTGGTCCCCAAACTTCTTTTTTTTTTTAATAATTATTTTATTTAACTTTAATTGTTTTTTTTAGAATTATTTTAACTTTATTTATTTTTACTCATTTATTTTAATTTTACCAGAGAGGGACAGAGAGAGTGAGTGAGTGAGTGAGTGAGAGAGAGAGATAGAGAGAGGGAAAGTGAGAAAGCAAGCCACCAGGTCCAGGACTCAAACTGCAGTCAGCCATGTGGGAGTCCAGTGCCCTCAACCACCATGTCACCTGCCAGCCCCTCACTTTGTTATCTTTATATATTATGAAACTTCTAACCAGCTCCCTGGTGGTGCTGACGCTGCAGGTCCACAGACCCTCTGTGACAATGGACCCCGAGGAACACAGCAATGAGGGTGTGATTCCAGGCACTAGTCAGGGGGAGATCTAGACATGGCGGGTCGCTTCATTCCTTGCCTGGCTCCTCCTTGGGGCCGATGGTTACCTCTTCTGCAGCAGCTTACCTTCGGGTTGTGTTTGGCTGTGCCTGTGCCCCCGGAAATGTCCTGAGTAGCCCCCAAATCTAGCTTTCTCAACCTTGCGCTTCCAACAAGGGGGGCAGCCCCTCTGCTCGTGGAGGCTGGTTTGACGGCCAGGCTACAGGAGGTCTGTGCAGTGAGAATGAATCGAATGCCAAGCAGCAGATGAGCCAATGCGTTCTTTATTGCAGACAGAGCTACGGGCTCACTCGCACTGTGAGCTCTGATTTGGGGGTTTCACTGACTGCATGAGCTCTCTCTTAGAGAGGGAAACAACTTCCAGAAGCAACTCCTTCAAAGGGTCTGAGGTCAGGATCTAGGGAAGCAGGCAGCTTGGCATGCAGGGGTTAACCAGAAAGGCAAGGTCCGGGGAACCAGGACAACCCAACCTTCATCTCCTGGGGACTGCAGGACACCCCCTTTGCTGACAGGATCACACATTCCAGGAAGATCTAAGAGGCCCATGATCTCCGTGGTCTGGTTTAGGGAGGGGGCTGAGCACAGACTTGGAACCCTGGAGGTGGAGGGAGAGCTAAGAGAACTCTGAACTCCAAGACAGCTTCACGGTCACCCTAGGCCCTTGCTTCATAAACTATTAAGAGCATGTAGGAATCAATTGGTCAACTCTTTAAAATGCAGATTCTGAGTCAGCAGGCTGGGCTGGGGCCTGAGACTCTGAATTTCTAACAAGCCTAGCTGACCACGCTGCTGCCTATCCACAGACCACACCTCAAGGAGCAAGGCTGTGGCCTACAATGCCTTGGTGCAGACCAGAAAAGTGTGCCTCTTCTTCAAGAAAGAAAAACCCTTATCCAGGACACCAGGCGAGTGGAACCACCCCAGCCTGGACTTCAGTCCCCAGGTACTTCAACATCCACAGCTGAACTCAATAATCCTGGAGATCCTGTCTTGACCTTCCCACCCTGAAAACCCCTTTGCTAGAGTGTGGCCCACCAGGCCTTGGGATGTAAGCAGGGTGAACAAGGTCTCTCTTGGGTCACCGAGCACTCAGTGATGGGCCAACAATGGCTGATCTGTCAGCTCCCTGCCAAAAGACAAGTGGCCTGGGTCGGGAGAAGGGAGAAGGGAGCATTCTGAGATGGGCTTGTTGCTTTGGGTGGCGGACTGAGTTCTGAACAGCCCACTCCCTAGGAGAGGTAAAGTGGCCACTGTCCACAGGACTGGCTTTTCCCCGAGTCCTGGGGCCCGTGGTGCCTCTGAAGACCCAGACAAAAGCTCAGACCAGTGGGGCCTGGGCCAGCTCCAAGTCTGCTTGCCCCACAGAAGGGGAGAAGGAGGAAGGCAGATACCTGGGGGACCAGGAGGTGAGCAGTTCTCCAAACACTGGGTGTTACCAGAAAGCAAGGGCCCAGGCCTTCTGCCCTGGAGCTGTCCTGGTTCCAGCAGTGGAAGTCCCACAGCGTGGCATCACTCTCAATTCCAGGCCAACTAGGAGAGCTGTGAGTATTGCCTGGCCACACCTGAGGCCCCAGGATGAGGGCCCTGACCAGGTTATCAGGGCTTTGGATGGTGGCCTGGGTTCTGGCTGGCTACTGACCAGGTGGCCCACAGTGCCTTCCTCCACTAGGAACCCACGACAAGGCAGCCAGGCTGCTGCTAGACGGTGACCATGCTCAGGGTGGCTGTCTAACTCGGACCAGAGCCACAGGTACAAATGGCATATTTCTCTCTGGTCCACCTCTTCTATGGATAAGGTGGTGATGCCAGGCACACCTGGTCACACACCAGTGGGGGACGAAACACTCAGAACTTCCTGCCCCACTGGTGGTTTCTTCTTCTTCTTCTTTTTTTTTTTTTCTGCCATAGGGTGTGCCATAGGTGCACTCACCAAGGAGAGAGAGAGAGAAATAGAGAGAGAAAGTAAGAAATCACCCCTGGGGGGATGGCCATGTCCCAGTTCCTTCTCTTCCATTCTCCTGTAGGGATTTTGGGTGCACACACACACGCGCGCATATTCAGTCTGATTTTCAAACCACCAGGTCCGAGGTTTGAACCATAGCCGACCATGTGGGACTCCAATGCCTTGACCACCACACAACCTGCTGGCCTTGCCCCACTGGATTCTTAAACACAAGAAAGACCAAGCGGCCTTGATTTTTCTCCTGATGGTCCTGGGGCTCCTACATCAACGTTCTCACTCTGCTGCAGAGCAGGCTGTGCTCGCTCCGTGGCTTTTCCAGGTGTCCTCATTTGGTCCCCGCCATTCCAGAGACCACAGAGTTGAGGACAGGCACTGTGAAGAGCTTCCTCCAGGCTATTTCTCAGGAAGCAATAAATATGTGGAGGTTCTCTCCTATTCCCCTTAAGGCAACAACTGTTTCTCATCCCTAGAAACAAAGGCTCTAACCCAGGGGCCCAGACAATGCTCCATAAAGCTCACCTGTGGGCTCAGAGGGTGCCTAATGTTTCCAGAGTAATTTGGAAGTGTGTAATTCCTGTAAAACCTCTGTGGAGGCCCAAGGAAGCAAACGTTCCCTGCCATCACCCCTTTTTCCAAGTAACAAGGGTCAGAGAGGGCCAGGAGATGTGTCCAAGTTGCACAGCAGCTCTGAGTGCCCAGAGTCCAGGCTCCAGCCCCTGCCTCACTTCCTCCCTCAGGCATTCCAGAACCCACTACTGCTCTAAGCTATCTATCCTGGACCTCCTGCACCCCTCCCACTATGTGCTGTTCAGTCCACCCGCCCCAGCCCCCCATGCTTGGCCTCCATGGACCATGGTACTCCCTTCCCTCAAGGCGGCAGGCCAGTGGCCTCTGTCCCTTGCTGGGAGGGCATGAGGATGGTGGCCTAAGGTGGGGAGGCCCGTGCGCCCTCTGGAGACATAAGCATGTCAAACTTGATGAGTGGTGGGGCGATCACGCGCACCTCGGCGTTCAGCGGGTTGAAGCGGAGGTTGATCGTTCGCAAGGCTGGCATGGCAGCCAGCTTCTCCACGGGTACGTCTGTTGGGGAGAGAGGGAACAGATTAGCAAGGTTGGGGGTCAAGCAGGTGGAGATGAATGACGAGCAGGGACCTGGGTACGCGACAGTGAGGACCAGCTCTCCTCCACCACCCACTGCAGGTGGGCTCAGCTCTTGCGGCACCCCCTGTGTGAGGGGCCATCAGGGCCATCTGGGCTAGTACAGCCACCTGGACGAACGCATTTTCAAAATGAGGCCCAGGTTTCTCAGAGTTAAACACAGGATTGCGGTATAACTCAGCACTTTTACAACTAGACAGAACTGAAAGAATTGAGGAAAGGTACCTGGGTTGGTCCCAGGGCCTAGCCATTAAAGGAACCACATCCTACAGGGCTGACTGTGATATGAGTCCTGGCCCCAGCAGCCTAAAAAATGTACCAGGGCTTGGCCCAACACCCAGCGAAAAGCCAGAATCCATGTGCATCTGAGGTGGGGTTTCCCTGCCCCTTCAACTGGAAAAAGCCAATAGTGAGGTTCAAGTCCCAGACCTGGTGGCTTGAAAATCATACAAGACGTGTGTGCATGTATGTCCAAAATCCTGAGAGGACAATAGAGGAGAAGGGACTACAGCACAGCCATCCCCTCTGGAAGATGATTTCTGATTCTCTCTCTCTCTCTCTCTCTCTCTCTAGTGAGTGTACATACTCTATAACACGATTTAAAAATAGAAACAGAAAAGAAACACAAAATGTACTGGGCACGTGTGGCCCAAATCCCAAACAGGATGGAGAAATGGAGAAGGGACTACAGTGCGACCATACCCCATTGGGGGAATGCTTTCTCCCTCTCCTCCTCTCTGTCAATGTGCCTTCTAGCAATTAACAAAACAAAACAAAACAAAACAAAACAAAGCAAAGCAAAACAAAACAAAAAAAAGTACTCAGTACTTTTTTAGAGAGATTTTTGCTATAGGGAGCATGCACTCACTGAAATGACAAAAAGAGACAGAGAGACAGAAAATGAGAAATCACCCCCCCCTCCCCAGGGGGAATGGCCACTCCGCAATCCATTCTCCTCTCCGGATTTTGGGCCTGCACACACGTTTTCAGCATGAGTTTCAAGCCTCAGGGTCCAGGACTCAGTTAGCCGTGTGGCAGTTTAGTGATGCAACCATTATGCCATCTGCTGGTCCCTCAAACAAATGCTTTTACACGAGGGTTCCTACCAGCACAATAGTCAAAGAGCCCTCGATGGATGAACAAATAAACCAAAGGTGGCATTTACATCTAATGCAATATGGATATAATAGATCGTGTATGCATGTTATTCAGCCGTGAAAAAGCAATGCGATTCTGATACGTGCTGTAACATGGGTGGACCTTGAAAGCATTACCCTGATGACAGAAGGCAGGCACGAAAGCATAAATCCCCCGTGATTCTACTCACACGAGGTATCTGGAGCAGTCAGATTCAGAAAACCAGTACATAGGAAGGACGTTACCGGAGACAGAAGAGGGAACTAGGAGTGACTGCTTAACAGTTACAGAGTACCTGTAGCAGCTGGGGGACGGTAAAGTTTGGAAATGGAAAATGGTGATGGCGGCACAACATGTATGAACACGAATGCACGTGAGTGACCAAGTTACCAATGACCTCAATTCCCAAAAATAGATTATGTGATTCGCTTTATGTGAATTTTACCTCAATTACCAAAAAAAAGACAAGCAAATAAGGCAGCAGTTTTAACACTTTATAGTGCTTCACAACTAATCTTTAGGACTACTCGGCCTTTGGTTCAAGTCCCTGATCTACCACGTAACAGTGGCCTGAAGCGAACCCCTAAATCTCTTACCAGGACAGTAATATGTAAGTATAGCCATCACAGGGTCATTTCAGGATGAATGAGCTCATACATGCACTCCACCCAGTATTCAGTGACTGATAGATAATATTATTAAAGAAAATCAAGGCCCAGAGAAATGAAGTAACTTGTCTAAGGTCACAAGCTCATAGTTACATGAGCCCAGAGTTGAATCAAGTTCTCAAATAGGAATTCAAGGAGGGAGTGGCCACACATGGGGTCAGAAGTGGCCGTTGAGTCAGGCTTTGGAGAATGGACAGGATTTGAATGGTGGGGAGACTGGGTGGAGAGAAGTGAGGGCAAAGAGTAAGGCTGGACGCCAGAGAGAGAGAGGAGGGAGGGGCTGGAGTGTTCCTCTAAGACATCTGGAGGCCTTCAGGTCCAGATCGTGTGAGTATGTAGCAGAGTGTGGGACCTCAGCTCAAGGGGCCAGGTAATACAGTCTGGCCCCAGCAACAGTGAGAGACAACTTTGATTCACTTTTCTGTTCCCCACTGGGGACCACAGTGCGGGGAAGAGTCTCTGCAAAGGAGGATGAGTACTGTGGTTTAAAGAATGATTCCAGGGGGAACCAGCAGTTGGCGTAATGGCTATGTCGCTAGACTCCCACATAGTCGACTGCGGTTCACATCCCGGACCCGGTGGCTTCAAACTCACACCGGGTGTGTGTGCGTGCGTGCCCAAGATCCCGAGAGGAGAATGGAGGAGAAGGGATTGCGGCGTGACCATCCCCCCTGGGGGGTGATTTCTTGCTTTCTGTCTCTATGTCTCTCTCTGTCTGGTGAGCGCACGCACTCTATAGCGAAAACCTCTCAAAAAAAACCCCCCAAAAACCAAAACAACAAGAACAAAAAGCAAGGACCTCCAGTATAATATTGAAAAGCAGTAGGGAGAAGGGATATCCTTGCCTTCTTGCTGACTGTAGTGGGAAAGCTTCCAGTTTTTTACCATTAAGTATGATGTTGGCGGTGAATGTTTTGTAGATGATCTTTATCAAGTGGTGGATGCTCCCTTATGTTTCTAGTTTGTTGAGAGTGTCAGTTTCGGAAGTTTATGTCATCATGTCTTCAAGCTCATATATTCTTTCTTCTGCTATGTCTAGTCTACAAATGAGCCGATCAAAGGCATTCTCTCTGTCTGTCTGGCGAGTGCACACACCCTATAGCGAAAATCTCTCTCAAAAAAAAAGAATGATTCCAGACCACCCAGATAAAAATACCAGCTCTGCCATTTCCCAGCTGTCTCTCTACAGGGAGCACGTGCACCCTACGTCAAGTTGAGTCAGTTACTCAAGTTTTCTTTGGCTTAGTTTCCTTGTCTGTGAAATGGGCATTATAACGGCGCTCACTCAATGGGGCTGTTATAAGAATTAGAGGCTGGGGATTTGAACCATGGTCACTCTGTGGGGTCTGTCTTCTCCCTAGCAGCATACTCCTGCTGTGCCACAGAGCTGGCCCACAGCCCTGACTTTTTTTGTTTTTGTTTTTGTAGGTTTTTGCCATCGGGTGCGTGTGCTTGCTGTAGAGAGACAGAGAGATGCAGAGAGAGGGAAAGGGAGAAATCACCCCACAGGGGACTGGCCATGCCACAATCCCTTTCTTTCCATTCTCCTCTTGAGATTTTGGGCATACATGCACATACGCCCAGCGTGATTTTCAAGACACCAGGTCCAGGACTCAAACCATGGTTGGCCATGTGGAAGAGAGCCCCTCATCTTGTGTTTGCCTGTTGTTTCCTCATGATCAGATTGGGACAGCTGCACAGAAGTGTCTTTTTCCAGGTATCATCGCATTAGAAGCACACAAAGTCCATCTTTAAGGTTAATTTTGATCACTTGAGCAACGTCTGACTCAGTTTCTCCACTGTAAAATGACTGGCTTTTTTTCCTTCCCTTCAACTAACAGGAAGTCTATGGGGACACATGCGAAGAGTGTGAAAACACCCTACTCCTCACATCACCCCGAGATTTAGCATGCAATGGTGATTCTTGCCTGACCTAGCTTCATACTAGTTGCGAAACGATTCTCCAATGCCAATGACCCTCAGTGTTCTACTATAAGCAAGAGCCTCCCCCTTCCATTTATCTATATTCACCATTGATATGGACGCATGTTTCTAGTGAGTACAGTTCATCGTTCTATTATCTTAGTGCTCAAATTGTCCCGAATGTGGCCAGTGCGAGCCCCTCGGATCTGGCCCGTGTGTCATGTAACATGCCTCCAGCAGCTTTTGGATGCACTTCCTTACCATCTAGTGCCACTCATCCTGAGCCTTCTCTGCTCCAGCCCTGGGATCAGCTGTTTCTCCAAGAAGCCTGCTTCCTTTCCCTGGGGACAAGTATTGGCGGTCAAGGGCACCAGCACTACCGACTGAGCCTTGTTTACAACCCATGCGTGAGGCTGTGTGTCGATCCATCTGCATTTGCTACCTCGAACACTATGTGGTGTACCCGCACACCCTGCCAGGACACCCAGGTGGCCTCCGTCTGTCCTTAAAGATGTGATGCACGTCCCCATGCGTGCGCACTCTCATTGCCCCACCAAAGGATATGCGTATATGCTTCAGTCTGCCCTCCTGGAGACCTGCCAAGCCTGCTGGGAAAGCTAGTCACCTTGCCACACCCCCCACCCCAGGCCCCTGATGCTCAGTGAGGTTTCTGCAGTCTCTTCCCTTTCCTGCCTTAAGATCTGTCAGGAAGGTGAGCAACGGCTGGGGCTTCATAATCCAGGATGGTTCCTCTCTACCCTCTGGGCAGGGCCCATGCAATGGAATCCCCTGAAGACAGACACTCTCCTCCCTTCAGGTCTTGGTAAATGGGATGTAGGTATTGCCCAGTTCCCCTCAGAAGAAGGGGAAGGAGGAGCCACGTCCCATCTGTAAAACGTCCACCTTGCACAGAGGAGTCGAGAAATCAACGAGATGCCTACATGCCATCTGCCAGGTTGCCTGCTCCAGCAACACGCATTTGGCCAGTGTAGACCCCTTGTTCCCTGCCACTAGCCCGGGGCCTGCATTGGCCCAGGTTCCTGAGGACAAGCATATAGGGTGCCAGTAGCGTCCACTCTGGCTTCATGGCTGAGATGACCTAGCCATCAGATCCTGTGGGAGGAAACAGGTGTCAAGCCTCAACGTTCTCCTGAAGGCACTGCAGCTCCCTAAGCCCCTCACCGCCACTCACAG